CTGTCTCTTCCAGATGGCAAACGTGGCCTTCATGCGCGGACAGCTGGACAACGTGAGTAACTCTGTTTTTTTTCCCCTCTGAATTTTAAGAGGCCGACATCTTGTGCAAGGTGGTGAAGGTGCGGCATGCTGCGACAAGCTGCGCGCCCAGAGTTGAGAGGCAGAGATTTCCTAGAATAAAGCAGAATAATTTCCCTTGGGACTGCAGTCCCGTGGAGCACAGGCTGCTGAGAAAGGTGCTTCCACGGTTACATTTTGAGCTCCGAAATGGTGCGCAAGGGAAGGAATCCCTCTTACTGTCAGATGCTACAGGCAAGCGTTTAGGTGGGTGTCCCAAGGAGAATCTAGGAAAGCCCTGCAGGCACACAGGTGTGGTAAACTCATGGCTGGGGCAGCAGTCCTAAAGTAGGAACGAAAGGACCCACAGGTTGGCAGTACCATCGGGCTCTGGGTAGCCTTTCATTTCTAACTGGTCTTGACATACAGTGTAAATCTCACAAATTGTGAGACAGGTTTCTCCCAGTAGTCTGTCTCGGTAAAGGGTAGAGATCTTTTGTTTCAAGTGCCATCATTCCTCAGTATTCTCTTCAAAATTCTCTTTTCAGGCAGAGAAGCTCTACAAAGCAAGCATGAGCTACTTGCTTGCAGGGGACACAAAGGAGGTACGTTCTTCTGATAAAGGCTTTCAGCTGCAAGATTAACAAACAGTGGTGGTGCACAACTCTCTGGTCTGTTTCTTGTGCTGTAATACCTCCTACTGGAAGTTGGCAATACTAGCTAGGAGCTTGCTGGTGTCTCAGGGAATTCCTGTAATGGATGGCAGCTCTGGAGACAACAGGATTTTTAAGGTCTAAACTTTTCTCTGACAAAGAAATGTTTGTTTGGGAGAAACAAGAAGAGTAACAGCTGCATTGTGTGTCCTTCTGGCAGGATGACAATGCAATCCTTGAGATGTCCCTCAAGCTGGCCAGTATCTATGCTGCTCAGAAACAGTGAGTTCCCTGCTAAAGGCATCTTTTGCTTTCATCTCAGCTTCACAGTGGCAGTGGTGGCCAAGCAGAGGCTCTTTAAAAACAGAGTGGCTGAGGAAGCTTTGATGTAACAAGATACCATCAACATAAAGCTCCCACAGGCATGATACTTGTCTGCCCACTGTCATGGAGCACAGTGATTGCTGTTAGGACCTGCCCAGCTTAGCGCAGAAGTAGCCATAGAGGACTTTCTTCTTTAGTCTCAAATCCACACCTCACAGGAGAGAAGGCTTTTGAAGCAGTTGGTGGCAGGTAACTTACAGCTTCATTTTTCAAGTGGAGCATTGGCATACGTTGCCTTAGGTGGCCTTGTCTGGGGAGGAGAGGGGGTCCTCTCCATCTCTTGGATCTGTTTGCCCATGGGTCAAGAGAAGGGTCCAGGCCCTGATCAAGGAGAGAGCACTGAGGGCAAGAAGGGTCTGGTGAAGGGGATGAGTTGTCTTACAGGCCCCCTAGAATGAGGGATTAGTGGTGTTAACATCCCTCCCTTCAGGGGAAGGATTGCTTTGCTCAGTTGTTGCACTTTGCAGGCACAAATTAGCCCTGGCTGGCTATGAGTTCTGCATCCTGACCTTAGAAGAGAAGATTGCCAAGCAAAAGGACTTGCCTGAGGATGTCTTACCAGGTGGGACTGCCTTTTCTGCCAAAGGCTTCTCATTAATTTCTCCCTTTCCCTGTCCTTGATGTTGCTTTCCATATTGCCTAAGCACCATCTTCATGTCAATCCGTTGTCCTCACACAGCATGAGTTTCCTACTCTTGTAGGATGGAGGCTCATGCTTGATGTTGTAGAAGTGATCACTTCCACTCCTCTCTATTTGCAGCTGAAGAAAAGGCCAACACCCGTCTCTTGCTTGGGATGAGTTTAGACTCCTATGCTCGCTATCTCCTAAGCACTAACCAGCTCCCAGTGGCCCAAAAAATGTATGAGAAGGCTCTGCAGATATCAAATGATGTTCAGGGAGAGACTCATCCACAGGTGACGTGTACAATGGTAGTTGGACTACT